ACACACACACCCACCCACACACACACACACACACACACACACACAGCACTTCTCTTTCCTGTCGTGCTTCACTCTCCCCCTCCTCCCTTTCAAAGTCAAATTGAGAACTTTCAAATCCCTGAGTCATCATTTCATCTCAAGGACGCACGTCGTCATTCACGCGATCTGCTGGGATGAATGTGATGGTTGTGTGGATGTCACCTTTGAGGCCCGTTCTGTCATGTTTCCAGGACTTGAAGCAGCTGAGTCCCATGCTGCAACACTCCCGCTCTCACTTTGCTCGCCGGTTGCCGCAGTAACAGTAATTGTAGATGCTCAAGTGCAGACAATAGAAAGTTGAGCCGTTTTTAAAGTGAAGTTGCTTGAAAGTGCGCCGCCTCCGGCTGTATGCACTCCCCTTCCTGGTGGAACATGAAGAGATTCCAATCTGGGCTGTTATCGTGGTTCATGTCGATGACTTCTTCAGCTAGCCACGGGATCAATTCCCTCTCGATGCATCCTGGGATTGACTGGCAACCCGTCTTGTGGGCCACTAAGTGGAAGAGACTTCAACCCCTACCCTGACCATCACCCAATAACAACTGGAGAGATGGGTGATTCTGGAAAAGATGGAATGGTTCACGTTGCTGACCCGCATTGAATCACTTCCGACTCAGTGTGTCCTGGTGACCAGTTCAGGGTGTGGTGACCACATCTGACCGGTCCAAGGTGTAGTCTGCATAGAAGATAAACTGCGGGCCCACCACCTGGCCAGGGCAAGGGATGGTGGCCCTGGAAAAGATGAAATGTTTCACATGGACCTTCCTTCACCACTTTGGTGCCCGCTGTGCTTGGCTCAATTGTGACCAGTCTCGGGTGTCATCTGGCCTACCGCTGAACAGGAGAAGCCAAGCAACATTGGAGAATTGGGCGAGCGGTCTTGGAAAAAAGAGCCCATGGAGATGACAGGAAATTCTAGAATATACTACAAACCTACGATATTGGCTCCTTTTGCGGAGGATGCAGGAGAATATTCCGCTGTGGAACTCATCAGGCTTAGCATGGAAAGTAGAGACCCCGAAGGCGTGTTAGGTGGCATAGAAAATACATGGACGAATTGAATACTCAGTTTTAGAAGATATCAAACCTCCAGTTTTGGTCCCCTGTGGATCTTTCAACTTTCCCATGTTCTTCTTGAGATGATCCTGCTACTTCTACACTCGTGAAAAACGTCTCTAGCGCCTCCAGTTAAAGGGTAAATCCCACGGCAGGCAAAACCCGGTTTGAAGTGAATGTGTAAGCCCGTTTCTTGGACTTCAAGCAGAATAAACCACAAAAGTCGCATTATTCTGTCCGTCTTGGAAGCTGTCGCACATTTTTCTTTTTTGTGCCCTCGTGAAAAATAGATTTTCAAGGAACCCCTTCTTAATGTTCCCTCACTCTGACTGGATGTCCTGTTCCATCCTTGAACACCTGCCGCTCCGTTTCCCTTGCCTTCATCCCACCCACCCCCACTTTTTCCTCCTTCCTTGCCCGGCTTCTCCGTCTCTTTGTCCAGCTTGTCCTTCCACTCTCCTCCCTCTCTCTTTCTCTCGCTCTCTCTCCCCATTTCCCAGCACTACGTGTGGCCCCGTGTTGTCCCCCTCCCCATTTACCTCATCAATAACCGTGGAGCTGCGTGTATGTGTGCCAGTGCATTAGGAAAATTGGTTCTCTGCGACGCAGCGCTCTCCTTTACTCCAGTAATCACAGCAGAGAGAGAAAGACAGAGAGAGAGAGATGATATGGCTCTGACTCTGCTGCTGAGATATCATCTGCAGCACTACACACACACACACACACACACACAGACACAGTGTCACCATGATTCACGTTAAAGCGAGACAGACTGGTTGTCCCTGTCAACTTTTGAACTCGCTGTAAAAAGCCCTCTCTCTCTCGACTTCAGATCAATATATTTTATTCCGTCTGAGTGATGTTCCAACTACCTCCAGTACCAAAATGTGTGGCTACTCTAATAATTGGCAACCTGATAAAAACTCCCCGGAGACCCATTTTGGCTCTACGTATTGGAAAGGCAGCCATTGAGGCACCCTTTCGACCATTTCTTTTCTATAGGCCTAACCCAGCTCACTTTTGGTGAGAGAAGCGGGGTACACCCTCGACTGGTTGCCAGTCAATTGCAATCCGTACATTGACAGAGAAGAGGTAAAGTTTGAGTGATTTCCTGGACCACAAGTCTGAGAGGCAACGACTAGACGCTAGAACAAAAGCCCAGTGGTTCTTGATAGGAGCTCTGAGGGACACAATAATTCCAAGTTCAAAAAGATGCAAATTTTTTCACCCCCATAACTATCAAGGGGCCAACAGCACAATGCACATGTGAAAATTGTACACTGGACGAGGACTTACAGGCAGCTCTCAATGATCATCGTTGACTTCCAGAGCAGGCCAATTGATATTAACGGCTGACTGTATATCGACCTGATCGATGGTTTCCCCCCAGCCCCCATTTTCTAATCCCAGCCGAGAGCTTTAAACAGCTGTCCGTCGATCCGAGCGGCCCTTGACGAGTGCCATGACGACCACATAACTCTGCGTGCGCCTGAGTAACAAGCTTTTCAATGAATGAAATACTGAAGCACCTCGTCTCACTAATTTAATGAATGAATCGTGCGCGGGAAAACGTGTGATGCAAACGGCATGTTTTTAATTCTACTTTGGGAGTCAATTATGGAAGATGATGACTAATTTAGATTTTTTTTTTTGAATTCATAATTTGTATTTTTTTTCAGCAACTTAGTTTTGTCACTGCCAAAAGACAAATGCATTTTTTTAACCCTTATGCGGTAACTGTTACTATCATTTTGATAACATCTCATTTAAAATGAAAAACACGCCTATGAACTACCTATTCTTTAAAAGAAGAGTAGAGACCATTTTAGTGTGTATTGTGACGTTATCACTTTATTACAATGTTGCTGATAAAAGCCAGGTTATTTTTGTGTTTTTCTGTCGAAAAACGACAAACAAGCACAGGAGCTAATGACCACAGCAAACATTTGATCGCAAAAAAAATATTGTAGGTCAGTGTTACTAAATTCCTCATTTCATCCGTTCATTGTCACTTCAATGAACATGTCACGTGACTCTATTCATGTCATTAAGGTGGGATTTCACGTGAGCTTGTTCCCTCAGCATCTTACGCAACCATCTTCATTTCCAGTCTAATAACAAACAGTTCCCTCCCACCAACGGTGCGTCACGGCAGGAACGTGAGGCAGCTGCTAGAAATTGTTCCGCTGTCTGGCCGGCGGTGGGATTGCGTGGAACTGATGGTGCTATGTTAATTTTAGCGTGACTTTTAAATTAGGTGCTGTTGCTCTGCTCGCTTGCCGCTAAGGCTAAAGATAGGTGTTGACTTACGTCAATTAAGACACAGGAACTTTGCCCAGTTTGTTTTTGTGCGACGTACTGATTAGTAGCTATTCGTGTAGTTGTTATTGAACAAACTGTTGCTACTGTAGCAATCAATTTTTGTTTAATAAGAGTGGACATGGAATGGAGCCCAGAGGAGCACCACCTCACCTTATTTGGTCACTTTTCAACTTTGTTTTAAGCGACATTATGTTTGCTTCAGTCTTAAATTGTGAACCCACCAGAAAGTTAACGATTACGACATTTTCAACCTTGCCTGTATACTGATAGCATGACTCGTCAACTTTGTACAAATGTGAATCTGCATTCTTTTCGGTGTTTGCTGTTAAATGAGTGATACCTCTTGACATTTTGGGTGTCAAACAACACCACGTGAGCCGGAACGCCTCACCAAATGCCGTGTACCTTTACATCACAAAACCGTTATCTGCTAGTAAAATTAGAAAGGCCACGGTTTTTATTTTTTTGTTTGAAACAAGAGCCTTGTGCTGGGTCGGGGGCCGCGGCGGTGTTTCCGCCCCGTCACCCACCACCAGCCACCTTACGACCCGTGTCTCATTTCACTGCAGCTGGCTGTGACTTTTACCACTGCTGAGGTGCTTTGAGGGAATGCCCCGCGTCTTGCGTTTTTGAGGAACATCATGTTTTATTGCGCCGGTCACGTTAATTCCATAGCCCCTTTTTTGGCAGGCCACATGGCAGTCAACACTCACGTTGCACCTTGTGGGAAGAAGAGGAGGGAGAAGACAGAGGAGTCAGAATAAAGCAGCAGGAGAGTCCCAAGAGCCACCAGCCAGAGGAGAACAGCACCCACAACATAGCAGCCTTCATTCATCGTTTGTTTTATTAAGGTGAGAGAAATAAAATATTTTGGCGCAATGACAGCTGAAAACTGACTTTCTGATTCAGCTGTTTTTCATACCCGTCCAGCTGTCAAGACTTGCGATAGCAGCACCATGGGCAGGAAAGACCAGGACTGTGGTTCGTGGTTAGGTATTTTCACATAAATCTTGTCCAACTCGTGACTTCTGCGTACCTATTTTACCAATTGATTATTTTTCCGGTTGATCCATGGCTTGCTTTGCTAGCCCACAATGAGGTCAAAAGAGATTCCCTCCAAGATGAGATAAAGAACAGCAGCAGTGGCAACCAAACAGGTGGCAACTCCGTAAGTAATATTCTTGTGAAAGATGCATTCTGTGGTACCGAGAAAAACATGACAGGCTGTGATTTCCTGTTTTTAAACTTTAAAAAATTTGTAACGGCAGTCATGGTCCAGATGGGAAAGTAAAAAGCGGGTGAATGCAACAAAATGTGGCAGCGTGTAATTGAGTGTAATCAAATTTGGAAGCGGTCCAGATATTGAAGGCGCGCAACTATAAAGAGGGATTTGCTTGTATACTGTAAAAAAAACAATGGCCTAAGAAGCCAGGATATACTGGGGGCACCAAAGATGAACTGTAATAAATCGGCATTCCCTGTAGAAGCAACTGAAAAGCCACTTTTCCATTCTATATGCCCTTTCAGTTGTCCATCATGTTGTAGCACACTGTGTCTTCTTCGCCCCAGCTCGAGCCCACTCGCCTTAGCGATGACGACGAGGTTCAGAGGAGTCAGGCTGGCGGCAGAAGCAACTACGGTGAAGAGGAAGGTCACCTGATCTACTACGCCGGCCTCGTGCTGAAGAAACGGTGTATGTGGCTTTCTGTCCTTTCTGGCCCTCAAAGTTGGTCCGTTAATAAATGTCTACCTGTCCCCTTCCCAGATGAGGTGGTGTCCACGCTGGGTGTCGGGGCTTTTGCCAAGGTGGTCGAGTGTATTGACCAAGACAAGTAAGCTACGGTACATTTCGATCTGTAAATTGAGTTTCATCTGCTGTAAAAATGAGTTCGACTCCAACATCACTACAAATGGATTGTTACTCACGGTAGAAGTGGTTCACCCAGCAGCAAATCGGTTTCTTGTGGCATCAGCAATGTGTTTGCACGTTCATATTTCAGACACAGGCGTGTGGCAGTGAAGATTGTGCGCAACATCAAAAGCTTCCGTCAAGCGGCCAAGTGTGAGATCGCCGTCTTGGAAGAGATCAACACCTTGGATGATGACAACACTTTGTGAGTGATACGCGGGTTTCCTCGAGTGATACGTCAAAGAATGTATTTGATGTTTCAGCGCAATGCATTTGTATTTAATCTTAATGAATGGCTTGATTTTTAATGCCAATTTAGGTAATACAACACCTGACTAAATCCAGTTTGTTTTCATTTTCTTAAATGGAGTGGTGATGTAATATTACATTGACTTGCATGAATATCACCACCCCCTTAAAATAATGGCCAAAATTATAGTTTCACCAAAAAAAAAAAAAAAATCATCTCCCCTGGATACTGGCTACCTTTGCTAAAATCAGTGAATTTTAACCCTGAAATTAAATTATTCATAAATCTAATCAGTATCTGGTCTGGTTCTTTGTGTTTTCTGGAGAAAAAAAACATGGAGGTGATGATATGAAATATCTTTTCAGGAATCAAATCTCTAACAAAGAAAGAAAAAAAAAACAAGGCCTCTAGAAAGGAGCTCTGTGGAACACCACAACTTCAGGAACAAAGTAAAATCCTACATTTACTGAATCCATGGATCACCGTGTCAATATTAATCACCTAAAACTACTCCCAACAGACAACTTTTTGACTTCTTTGTGGCCATCACCATTTAGCTAGCTAACCTGTATTTGTTTCAATGTTAAGCCTTCGGTATAATGATGTTACTTGGAGAGCAAAGTGTTTTTTAGGTGGTGCTATTTGAGCTCTGTCTTCTTCGCAGTGCCTGTGTGCGGATGCTGGACTGGTTTGAGCACCAAGGCCACATGTGTCTGGTCTTTGAGCGCCTGGGACTCAGTACCTACGAGGTCCTCAAGCAAAACCAGTTTCTACCGTTCAGCGTGGAGCAGATCCGACATATGGCCTTCCAGATTTTTCGAGCCGTCAGCTGTGAGTCAAGTGTGTTGAAACAAGCTTGGGTATCAAAACCTTCTATTCTGTGTTCATCCTGAAAGTTCAGTTGACTTTCTTTTGTCTTTTTCCAGTCCTACATCGCAATAAGCTGACCCACACCGATCTGAAACCGGAAAACATCCTGTTTGTCTGCTCTGACTACGACATGGTGTACAACGAGCAGATGGTAAAAGCTTCCCCATAGTTACCCTCAAACGCTGAAATAAAACCTGAAGTGAAAATGTTTGTGTGCGTCAGAAACTCGACGAGAGGAAGATGAGGAGCCTGGATGTAAAAGTGGTGGACTTCGGCACCGCCATTTTTGACCATGAGCATCACGAATCCTTGGTCTCAACGCGCCACTATCGAGCTCCGGAAATCATACTTGGTATTAACATTAAAAAAAAAAAAAAAAAAATTAAATCATCTTTCTCAATTGAAATGAATGGAAATGCCTTTAATCAGTTCCACCTCCACGTTTTAAAAAATGTAATGTTTTTATTTTTCATAGGAAAAATAGCCCTCAATAATATTGTACATATGACAATGACCTAATTAAATAGAAAGTAAAAAAATCAACAGTTTTTGCATCATGATTTCATGCTTAAATTCAATGGATGTTGTGCTGCTCCTTCTGATATTGGTCATATTTTAAACTTGTGTGGTCAGATCTAGGCTGGAATCAGTCTTGCGATGTTTGGAGTTTGGCCTGCGTTCTCATGGAGTACTACCTTGGCCAGACGCTATTCCCGGTATGTACACACACCCGTCTGCTGAGCGAAGTGAGAATATGTGGTCACGAGGCACAGTGCGGCATGCTCACTTCCTGCCCGACTTACGAACACCACCACTGCCAAAAAATCCAAAGTCCTTTTTCCCTCCTGTGTGTCCCTCCAGACTCATGACAGCAAGGAACATCTGGCCATGATGGAGAAGATCCTGGGACCCATCCCGCCGCACATGCTGAAACAAACCAGGTCCCACACAACACTGGAGCACGATCTTGTCTAAATTACGTTCCTCAACATAGTTCCAAGATGCCACAAGATGGTGCAACAGCACCAATTTTTTTTTTCAAATTGAGGCTCCTTAACTCAGGTCAACATATAGTTCTTTGGCACCAAGATGCCACAAGGTGGCAGCAAAGCATGACTTTTTTTTTTTCTCAATGAAGCTCCTACACTTAGTTCAACATAGTTCCTTGGTTTAAAGATGTCACAATGTGGCAAAGGTTCTAAATAAGTGAATCTGCGACGATGCGGACGAAAACCGTATAACATATTTGACGTGTTTCTAAGTAACTTGCCTGACGCCCCCAAGGGTGTCCCACCAGGACGGGAATCCAAGCGTCAGTGTCGTGAAAGAAATCACGTGGTGGTTTTTTTTTTTTTTTTAGGTCCACCTCCTGTATTGAACCCCTGTTATAATCATTGTGTTTAGAAAGCAGCACTACGTCCTCAATGGCCGACTGGACTGGGACGAGCTCAGCTCCTCGGGCAGATACGTCCGGAAACATTGCAAGCCTCTCAAGGTACGCCGGACACAGGGAGTTAATCAGGAAGTCCGGCAGGTAGTGATGTAGTTTTGTTCCGTTTTGGCAGAGCTTACCGAGGCGCAGCGAGGACGAACGGCAGCTGTTGGACCTTCTGGCCTGCATGCTGGAGTTTGACGTGGCTCGACGCATCACCCTGGAGGAGGCACTGTGGCACCCGTTTTTCGAACCGGCCAGATTGGAGAAACAACGGCGAAGCTAACACACACACACTCACACACACACTTACAGTACAGCCAACCCTCAATATTTGGTTAAGGGACCAAGAGCAGTCACAAATAATAATCCCCCTCCCCCCCGTATGTCGTCGTATTTATTTAAGAAATTTGTACTGGCCCGGACGAGCAGGCGTCGGTAAACTTAAGGGGGACCGGCGCAGTCACGTAGTGGCCTCAGGTCACCGGGCTTCTTTTGCTGTTGAACCCTGCAGTACAGCCATATGGTAACCATCAAAAGAAAATAAATACGTCATAGGTATGCAAAGTTTGGGTTATGTCCTACAAAAAAAAAAAATGTGAGTAGGTGAGTTTACAGTCATCCAACTCGATGAGGGTTGACTGGAGATAGAAATACATTCTACCTCAACCTGCTGCTTTATGGGTTTGGGTTTCTTGATTGTTGAAAGCGAATGTTGTCACGGTGGAGAGCAATTCTTATCACCAAGTGGCATTATCGTGCTTTTCTGTTTATTACAATTTGTGAATAAATATGCGCCATTTTGGTCGGTTTTATTTCAACGTCCTAGATGGGCTTCCCCCCCCGTGCTTACATGACCTCTCTAAAATGGCGAGTAACGCAGAATTAGGTCTTATTACCTGCCTTGCCTGATTAGGTTACATCGACACTGCAGCCTGCAGTCACACTTAAGTCAATATGGATCCAAGCTGAGCCCCATCCACGTGGCCTGGTGGCAGATTTATTGAGAGTGGAGCAAACCAGGACGTTTCCATGACTAAATAATCAACTCGACAGAGGAAAACCTTGAGATAAACCATCGGACGCTTGCTTGGGTTTGTTATCTCCAGCAACGACAGTCTTACAGTACGTCAGTTAGAAATAAAGCACAGAATGTACGACCAGGATGTACTTTGAAACGCACAAGCAATTGTTGGTGGTGAACCAATGAGGTAAGTGGTGAGTAAATCGGCCTCAGAGTCAAAGGGTTCTGGGTTGGAATCCCATCAGAGTCTTTCTCCTTCACTCTGCTTTGGTCATATGACATGGAAGTGCCTATTCTTGCCAAAAGTAAGACGGTTTAGGCTCCAGCGAAGCGGAATTGCGGGGTTCAGCCACCAGTTCAAGTCTGCGCTTGCGACTGAAGGTCTCCAACCCCCAAGACCGGTCCAGGAGCCGACCCCCTTCCCGCCAGGCACGCAAACATGTCCGCTATCTGCGTCCTCACCTCCCTCTGCCAACAGGCGTAGACTAGTGGATTGATGAGCGAGTTGGACATGCCCAGCAGCCACAGGTGATTCTCCAACACCGTGATGAGCCGGCAGCTTTTACACAGCAGCTGCACGATGCTCACCACGAAGAAGGGGCACCACAGGGTCAGGAAGCAGCCCACCAGCAAGGCCACGGTCCTCAGGGCCTTGACGTGGCTCCAGTACCGGCTCCTCGCTTGGGGCCACTGGGAAGAGTGCCGGTGGCCTGCGGTGGTCCGGGAGCCCGCCTGGCTGATCTGGAAGATCTGGCGTTGATGGCCACAGGCGATCTTTAGGATGTCCATGTAGATGTACACAAACACGGAGAGGACGGGGAAGAAACACACGCTGAACAGGACGATGATGCCCGTCGGGTAGATGACGGAGAAGAAGGCGCACAGGCCACCGTAGCCGTCCGTCTGCAGCTGGCGGACCATCACTGTGGACAGGATTAGTCAGGAAAGCCGTCACAAGGTTTCAGTGGCAGGCAGTGCATTTGCCAACTGACCCTGCAATGATGAATTTGAAATCTTATTGTTTAAAGAAACAGTCCCATTGCTAGTCTGTATAACAGACGCTAAAATCTGATTGGATTAAAAAAAAAAAAAAAAAAGAAGAAGCTTCCAGCAGTGCAGCTAAAAGAAATGCTCTGAAATGAAGATAACTGAAAATACCAAATAAAACTTTATGCATGAATACTAAATAAAAGATTCAGGTACTACACATGTATGGCAAATAAAAACATCTGTGCAAAAGTCTGCAGATCTCAATCTACTGGCTGAGTGATTTTACCTGGTAAGAATCCCACAATGACCGAACAAGCCCAAAGAGCCACCAGGGAACCGACCGCCGTCCCCTTTCCAGAAAACCTGGTGTACCTCAGGGGCACCTTGATGGCGGCGTAGCGGTCCAGCGAAATCAGAAACATGGACAAAATGGACGCCGTGCACGGCGACATCACGAAGGCCATCCGCATCAAACAGCGGCTCTTTCCCGGAGCCGGGGATGTGAAGTTCCCGGCACCTTGACGGTAGTAGTGATGGTGGTGGTGGTGGTAGTCGGTGGAGGTGACGTTGGTACCGAAGTCCTCTGTGGCCAGACCGGTAATGGCCAAGCCCACCAGGATGTCAGCCAGGGCGAGGTTGAGGACGAAGCACCAGCTCTGGCTGCACCTTTTAGTCAGAAGGCGCAGGAGGGCTGCAGCCACCAGAAGGTTGGTGCCCACGATGAGGCAGGAGGCCACGCTCAGGATGAAACCCGTCACCCGTGGCTTCAACCCGTCACCCGTGGCCGCAGTCATGCTCGCTCTAGTCCTCTCGCGATCCAGACACAGGCTGCGTGAGCGACTCGTGCACTCCCGCCGCCATCGACCAGCCAGTGACTTTATTAAATGAAGCTTTTTCAGACATCCCCGCATTGGGTCCTGTACGGTTGAGTCGTTTTCAAAAAAACAGCAGCTCGAGTTAACGTACAACCTGGCAGACCTACTTTACTCCCACCCGCCCTCGGGAGAGACATTTGCCATTACGGGACATTTTCCACTCAGCTTCACACACAAACAGATATGGCTAATGATGTTTTTTCACAGCCATGCATGAAAGGACCTCACGTTAAAGGATTTCCATGATAGGGTCGCGATTCTGAAAAAAAAATAAAATGGTGGAAATAAAGTCAGGATTCAAAATGTTTCTGGTCTACTTGTATTTATATGCTAATTCTACTTATCTTTAGAGCACGGTGGTATTTTGATTACCGGTAACTTTTTTTTTTTTTATGGTGGAAATAAAGTCAGGACTCAAAATGTTTCTGGTATACTTGTATCTATATGCTAATTCTACCTATCTTTAGAGCACGGTGGTATTTTGATTACCGATAACTTTTTTTTTTTTTTCCCATTAAAAGCAACATCTATTTTTTTGTAATCTATGTCTAATATATATGATCATTGAGACTTCATTCTTATAAAATGATGCAGTTCTCCAGCTCCAAGTACATTTTTGTAATCTATGTCTAATATGTATGATCATTTAGACTCTTATAAAATGATGCAGTTCTCCAGCTCCAAGTACAAATCTCTGGATTATAAACGCAAAAACGTCCATTTGTGGGATTTTCTGATGGGCTCATTTTACTGAGTTAGTTGTAACTGTCTTCTTTGTGTCTTTATTATGTACAGTATGTATTATACTGCTCCCTGTTGGCCAAAGTGCACACACCAGAAGGATCAGCCCAATATCCATTGAACTGAAGCAAATCAATATACAAAAACTGCTCTTTTTTTAAATTTCACCGTTAGTGTGTTTTATACAAACACGAGACTGTAGAGTGCTATTTTTCAAAATGAAAACATCACTAAAAATTGTTGTGTTTTGTGGGTTCCACTAAAAAAATTTTGACTTGTGCTTGAATTTTTCACCATAGTTAAATTGGATCATAGACGGAAACTATGCAAATGCTAATGAATAGGAAACAAAAAACTACAACAGAAGCTAATATATCGGACACAACAGAAAAACAAAACAGGAAATGACTTTGGACTGTCTCATTGGTGGTGTCATTTCGTTTATGAGCTTCACATGACTTGGACTAATGGCTTCACAGAAACCCGAGAGCTTTTTATCAACCTTCCCCCCATCACCGCACCACCCTTCCCCATTAAAAACAAAAACAAACAAAAAAAAATAGGTGCCGCCACGTTTGACACAATGCATCAATGTCATCCAAGCGCCGCTGGATCTTTCAGGACCTTTTGAAAAGCGCCCGCCTCAGCAGTTAGCGTGGCTAGCGGGCTGTGGATACCAGGTGAGGAGTTCGCTTTGGGTTGTGTTTACACCTCGAGACAACGCCAATTTCCCTGACATCCCTTTTGTTTTCTTTTCGTTCCTTTTTCTTAACCAAGCAGGAGCTTTTTCCGAGGACAAATCGGTAAGCAGAGGGTGTTGCAATGTTGTGTGAGACGGCCGTTTGTTTCGGGTACGCCGTTCACTCTGTCCTCGGTGATGTCGAGAACTCACGTGACTAAAGTCAAGCTGGAGCACTGGCTGCCGATTTGTGGTGTAGGCAGTATTGCAGACGATGGCGACGGCATGACCCACAAACGAGAACACAGGCTGCGAATGAAAAGCCCAATATTACCAAATTTGTGGAAAAAATTACGAATAAAACTAAAACGAAGTAAAACGTTTCAAGGAGGGATAACAGAATACTGATGTTTAGTGTATTAAATTAGTTCATAAAATTTTAAAGTACTGACGACAAAAAAATAAGAACACATCTCATTTTTTTTGAGTCAACAATGAACAAAAAAATAATCGGAATGAGTAAATGAATAGTTTTGAAAAAAACATTCATTAAAACATTTGAATTTTCAAATAAATTGAAATTAATTAACAAATGAATTAAAATACCCCCAAAATTTTTTTTCAGGAAAAAAAATTGTCGAAAACTAAAACAAGGCATAACTACTCACCCTAAGATATTTGCATCCGCTTAGCATGATGCATAAAAAACGAGCTTAAATTAGTCCTGCTGAGATTGGGTGGCAACCAGTTCAGGGTGTATTCCGCCTGCTGCCCGAACATAGCTGGGATAGCTTCCAGCACGCTCGCGACCCTCGTGAGGATAAGCAGATCAGATAATGGATGAATGGATCATTTGTACTGATGCGCGGGACATTGTGCGTTTACCGTTGTCGCTTTCCGTTTCAGTTGCAGGCTTAAGATGCCCGTGAAGAGCCTCCTGCTGGCCAGGCTGGTGTACTGCGCTCAGCGTGCGGCCAAGCTCTTTTGCGGTCAGCGCCAACGGCACAGTGGGACCTCGCCCGGACCCCGGTGAGACTTGGTTGCTCTTTTTGGTACACCCTCACTTGACCCCTGCATTTTTGTGGTTCGGCAACCACAAATTCACCTATTCGCTGATTTTTTGGGGGTGGGGGCCAGGGGGGTATTTTTTTTTTTCATCAGTTCACATGGACATTTAGAAACAGTAGATTCACACTTGTTGGCTCCGTATTTTCATTCCCACCACGAATATTTCCCTTGTTGACTCTCTGTTGCCATAGCAACCTGATGTCGCTGTTCCAGCAGCTTTCCAAGAGGTTCACCGATTTGCTGCGCAACGTTCTGTGAATCCCGGCTGGGAATGATAGAATAAAATGTGGAAAGATGATAATAATAGTCCACTCTAGGAAAACTACAATTTCCTGCTGCTGTGGGATCTTTTTGCCATGTTGTTTTTAACTCAATAAAACACCCTCAGTGGCACTATTGTGATTGATTGTCATTATGTTAAAGACGAAGAAACCCCCAAAGAATGAAACTTATCACATAACGTGATATTTATCACATTTACCTTGAACAATATTGCTCATTTAAAGTTACAAGGTTATATCAAAACGCAAGAATTATCACGTTATACGTATAAGGTGAAATCAAGCACTTTAAAATGTGAACTTCATCACATAACGTGGTGTGAATTTCTATTTATTCATTGCTTGGTAGCAGCCATAGCCTTCCGTACTTCCGGCAAATCCCCAGTTGGGCAAACTTATTTTGAAACTACTTGTGTATTTCACCTCACACGGCGCTCGCACGTAATTCTGTCACCTCGTACAATAACCCCGATTGTTATAATTCTTTGAATTACAACGAACAACACAATTTCACTTCGATACTCTCATGACCTTGCTTCGGACGAGTGAGGCGTTGTACTTTGAAAGTTTGACCCGGAAATCCAGGCTGTGTCGCTTTTCTGTTTCACTTGACATTAGCTGAGTCCAAGACCAGCCGAGCGAGACGGCTAACAAGTTTTTTTCTTTTCTTCCCCCCGTCGGTGAAAACCATGCGTGAGTCTTGACTCACGGAAAAGCGATCTTAGTGGCAGTTTGTGGATTTTATCGACTACGTCCAGGTATGTAAATACAATTTATTTGGATCGGGAAGTATATGGAAGTGATCCAACAGGCTAGTAATCCCCAGAAAGTGCTAGCCGGCAAGAGCTAACTCACTACGACGGCATTCAAAATGAATCCTCAAATTATGTAGTAAAATTCCAACCGTATGAAAGAAATGTTTTAAGTTAAATTTTAATATTTATTCGGCGGGTTTGTTGTCGGACAACGTGACTTCATAAAGAACTTCAATTCGTGTTCCCGTCGACGGGTCATTCAGATAATTTCGTCCTCCTCCAATGGAATCTCGGAGCGTTTGACTGACAGCGGATGTCGGCCAATTACAACGTAATAGACAGCGAGACGACGTTTGTGTCTCTTTCCGGCCTTAGTGTCTGTGTTGTGAATATGTATAGGAACATATTTCAATATTACATGTGTAGTGGCATTAATATTTACTGGTGGTGTCAATTTTGTGACTTTACAAAGGATTTTTTAGTAAGTGTTACATTCGAGCGCCGTTCCTCCAATGAAATCCCGTAAATATTTGATTGACATGGTTGACAGCCCCTAGCAGTTCCCCAGCCGATTTGGCGACGTCTCGTGTCTTTTCTCGGTCACAGCGCGTACTTGATATGTATATGTAGACATTTATATTGACTTGTATTAATTAAACCGTTTTTGGCCTCGTTGGGCCTTCATGAAAGAAATATCAATTGACTACGAGTTATTTTTACCGTTGTTGGAATAGCATCGCTTACACGATTGATTGACGTGGCTCACAGCAAATAGCAATGACGCGGCTGTCGTGACGACGCTTGGCTTCGGTTTCCGGCCGCAATGTGCTTTCGGGTGCTGATGCTGATGAGGCAGCCCCCGCTGTTCTCGGTAGCATCATGTTTTTCGCCGTGCTTGTTCGCCTGCTGTCACAGCGCTGTTGCGTGGACTTGTGCCTGGGCGGCTTGCTCTTGTTCCTGGCCGGGCTGCAGCAGGCGGAGGCTGCCGCAGCCGCAGCCGCAGCCGCTGGAGCCCCCACGGCGGAGATGGCCAACCTGAACTGGAAGCCGTTCATCTACGGCGGGATGGCCTCGATCGTCGCAGAATTCGGTAGGTGATGCACCGCACTAACGATTGTGACTGGGCAATTAGCTTTTACATTTTTTGGGGAAAGGTATTTGACCCTGCAGAGCTCAAAATGATTCTTTTTAGATCATGTATTTAAATGTATTTCTATGAATATAATAAATGTTTCTATATTTGAGTGGGACTTGCCTATTAACCCGTCCAGTTATGTTGCAGTTAAAATAGACCTGCTTCTTCATTTAAATTTATGTCAAGAATATTTTTTTAATCATAAATATATATACTCGGCTATGTTAACTTTTTCTTTTATATATTTTATTTAATTTCCATTTGAAGTTTCTTGTAGACTGATGCTTTTACTCTTTGAATTAAATTCAAATGCTATCAGTCCATTCCAGCCTTTTTGAGATGTGTTTTTAATAAGAAAAATAGCATTTCATAATAGTGTACTTTTTTAAAACATAGCTTATTGACATCATTACCTGCACTGTAACAAATTCAACAGCTTTTGCCACATTTCTTTCCTTCAATTCATTGGACATTGTGCTGCTCCTTCACTGTAATACAGACAAAAAAAAATGTAATGTAAAAAAAATATAAAATCAATATTATGGGTGGCCCGATGGTCGAATGGTTCGCGCGTCCACCTCACAATGCAGAGATCGTAGGTTAGATCCCGACTCCGGCCTTCCTGTGTGGAGTTTGCATGTTCTCTGCGGGTCTGCGTGGGTTTTCTCTGGGTACTTCAGTTTCCTCCCACATTCCAAAAACATGCATGTTTTTGGAATTTCATGAAAAAAAGTCTCTCTATATAACTTAATTTTTGTGTACCACAGTACCAAACATAACAGGAGGGTTAAAAACACACCCACAGTACGGTGGTACACACTGTATTTGACCTTTTTTGTATGCCGTCACGTAATTGCTTCATTGTCACCTCATTACAATTGTTCATGATGCGTTTGTATTCTTAGGCACGTTCCCCATCGATTTGACAAAGACACGGCTCCAGGTGCAGGGTCAGTCCCAGTACATGGAGGTGCGCTACAAAGGCATGTTCCACGCCCTGTTCAGGATCGGCAAGGAAGAGGGCATCCGAGCGCTCTACTCAGGGTAAAGGACTTTGCGTTTTCTATTCTGTCGACACCCAAAGCGACGCAGAGCTGCAGTGCTGTTGGATGTGGGATGCACAGATGGGCATTAAACTTCTGATGTTTGAAATTGTTTACACGAGAGCAGCGGAGTGTAATCCAGTGGTCTGGTGATCAAGTGCTGCATCCACCAGTAAAAATAGAATTGATAATATCTTAATGGCCACTCGCTTTTGTAAATTCGCAATTTGGACTAGAAGAAGCAGTGCATTGGCACGTCTCCTCCCTGCAGGATCTCACCTGCGCTCTTGAGACAAGCGTCTTACGGGACCATCAAGATCGGAACCTATAACTCCCTGAAGAGGCTTTTTGTCAGTCGCCCAGAAGGTCAGTACCACTATAAGTTGTACTTGTTTTTTTTTTCTCCATTCTATTTATTTTCAAATGTGTTGATGTTTGTTTGATGACAGACGAGACCATGGTCATCAACGTCTTCTGTGGAGTGGTCGCCGGCGTCCTGTCGTCCTCGCTGGCCAATCCCACGGACGTCCTCAAGGTGACAAGTCTTGGACTGATGGACAAAAGCATTGCAGGCTTCCTCCTGAGTTCAAATGAAGCTCAGGCGTTAGAAATCTGATCATTCACCTGCGTGCGCTTGCCAACACCCCCACTGGCTCGGACAAACACTTTTTTGAATAATTCTTGACCTGCATTTTATTGTTCCTGAAAGTTTTAGTTTACCTTAGCTAAATGGGCTCTGTTAAATGCTTGTTGAACATTTTCGTGAGCCATTTCATGGTCACTACGAAACCATTCTAGTTTTCATTTGGTGCTACAGTGTAGTAGCAGGTGAGGATGACAATCCTGCACCTCATATGCTTATTTTGTGTTGGTATATAGTGCAAAAGCAATTTTTTCCCCCCATTCTAAACCTCTTGAAAATGAGAATGGCTCGATTGCAGATCCGAATGCAGGCGCAGGGCAGTCTGCTGCAAGGCAGCATGATGTCCAACTTCATCAACATCTACCAGACGGAGGGCACCAAAGGCCTGTGGCGAGTGAGTCAGCGGGCACTTGGAAAGCCGTTGCCACCGTTTTCCCTGCTCACGTTTGTCTATTGGTGTCCCTCAGGGCGTCATTCCCACGGCGCAGCGGGCCGCCATCGTCGTCGGCGTTGAGCTTCCCGTCTACGACATCACAAAGAAACACCTCCTGCGATCAGGCGTCATGGGCGACACCATTTTGACACACTTCATGTAAGACTGTTTGATCATCACAATTCAGGTGTGGGAAGTTGAAGTTAGAAATCTGAGTGTCTTTTTTTCACATTTCTGCACTTGCGTTGAATATGTATTTTCTCGGACTGATTTTCTTTTCTTTTTTAACTTTCTACTTGAATACAGGAGTTGAATCCATACCGATCAAAGTCTTTGTTTGAGTGTCTCTACTTTTGCCACTTAATCTTCCCGTTGATCTCACACCAAGTGTTTTGTTTTGTTTTTGTTTTTTTTGCCTCTCCTGTGTCTGTGCAGTTCTAGTTTTGCGTGCGGCCTGGCGGGGGCGCTGGCCTCCAACCCCGTGGACGTGGTGCGCACACGCATGATGAACCAGCGGGTGCTGTCGGGGGCACCCATGTACAAAGGCACGCTGGACGGCGTGATGCAGACGTGGAGGAACGAGGGCTTCTTCGCGCTCTACAAAGGATTTTGGCCCAACTGGCTGCGGCTGGGGCCTTGGAACATTATCGTATCCTTTGCATTGCCGTTGTTGTGGCAAGTCACTGATGTGAAGTCCACGATTTTATTTATTTTTTTAATCGGGTAGTCACTTGTCCAACCGCATCGCCACTGAAAAGCGACAATGCCTCTTTCAGAAAAAACTTCATTGAGTGAATTTTGGTGCAGGTAAGATACAGAAGGGAAGTTTCGGAAAAAATAGCCGCTGACGAATAAGAGTTTCTTACGTCAGTGGGTTTTTTTTGTTTTGTTTTTCTGCTTTTCTTTTCCTTCACCTGCAGCTCAGTTCTTCATCACCTTCGAGCAGTTGAAGAAGCTCCCGTTGTAAGGTGGGGAGCGATCGTCGGGGCAGCGCCGATCTGTCGGACTGTGTCGGCCATGCAGCATCTTGGGGGGGAGACACGGAAGAAAAAGTAATACCGGGAGGGTTGTGGCACCGGCGTCTATTCACACTCCTTTACCAGCAACTCCACCACAGCATCAGCCAGCCTCTCCACACACTCATACAACACCTCATATGTATTTTATTTTTTATTTTTATTTTTGGGGGGGGTGCTCTTTATTTATGGTGACGGATTCTGTTTTTACCACAGTCATGAGCACTGACACCAGGCAGCTACTTTTATCAGGGCAGGAGAGAGACAGACAGCGAGTGCGCGAGGGAGTTAGAACCTGGTTACTGGGACACACCAGGTGAGTTTGAACCTCAGCTTTTCTTCAAAGATGTTCATCTAAAGTTACACACATCCGAGAGGCTTGAAATGTCTTGTCAGTTGCATTACAAGAAAGCTGGATAGTAAGGTGCCATATACGTTTATTATGTTTCATTGGGCCGGTGATTCTAGAGCAGGGGTGTCAAACATACGGCCCGCGGGCCGGAACCGGCCCACAAGGGGGTTCGATCAGGCCCGCGGGATAATTTAAAAATGAAAAAATGCATAAAAGACACGGAACGAATATTTTTAATAAGATGCAATTCATGTATTATCCGCTAAGGGGGACACTGTTTTCTCTTTAGTTTGTAAAGTGTAGGCGGGGGTTACATTTAGATTTCATATGCACATGTGTAACTGGTTTAAAAAAATCCTTTCTTGATAAATCTCATTTAATCTTAAAATGCATGTCTATATTTTTAAATACTAATTGTTCAAGTTTTGTGCCTTTGTACAATCAGTGAGATCAGTTGCACTGCATATATGTGAATGATAAAAGTAAATTGCACATTTGTCGAAGGAAACTAAGGTGTTTTATGAAATGTTAGGTAAATGAAATGTAGGTACCTTTCAACATTTTCCTCATGTTCTTGTGCTTCGCTATATCAAAACAAAGGAAAGACATGCTATTTTGGTTATTTATAGCAGCGTATGGTATAATTTTAATGGTCTGGCCCACTTTACATTGACCAAGGCCGTATGCGGCCCACAATATGAAATGAGTTTGACACCCCTGTTCTAGAGGCTGAAAAAAGCCCGACGCAAGCGTCAATCTGAACCAAAAGCCTTTGCTGTGACACTGGTAGAAACATAGCAGCTACATGTATTTTGCGCTTTAAGGCTTGTGCGGGTCACGACTAGCAAGGAAGGTCAAGCGTGCCAAAGGTAGTTTCACTCTTAAGTATTGCCTATATACCGTACTACTCTCACAATGTCTGTGACTCTTCCAGTCTTTCCGCATCTCTCTTGCAATCTGCCGATGACAAAATAAGTCCATGACATCTGGATGTTGGCCTGTTTTACTGCCACTTCTCTTCCCTCCCCCGCTTTCCCTCTGTGATAATATGAGCCGTTCCTGTCATGTCATCAGCAGGTTGCAATCGAGCCTGGAAGCATCTTTTCAAGCAGGAAAGGGGGGGGGGTGGGGAGAAGGGACAATAAAACAGGCCAAAGTCCAGACATCAGGAACTTTCTCATCAGCAAGTAGCAACAGACACATTGTGGTTGGTAGTCCACATCCATGGTCCCAAAACATTGAAAATTGCTCACTTTCGAATGAATCGTTGCAGTTTTTGGTACCCAAACAAGCCTCGCATAACTTGTGTGCGGGTGTGTTTGCCACAGAGTGCGGCTTCGTATTTAATGATTATTGTTTGATGCCTATTTATTTTCACGAGTGGGTCCAGTCTGGCGTTTATGTTTTATTTTATTTATTTTTTGGGTCGAACACGCTTAAATTGACGCTGCTTTCATTCCCGCTCACGCGTCTGTTTTACAATCAGACACGTCACTTCAGCGCCGGTCGTTCATTCCTTCAATCTTACAAAAGAAAAGTCTCAATTATACTTTTATGGGGTTTTTTTTCAGCGTTTTCAGATTTTTGATTGTAGCTATATAAAGCACCTTTTGCCTTTTGTTGTATTGAATAGAAGAACTGAAATATACTCTATAGGTCATCCAAATGTTTTTATAAAGGCACACTCAATTTTTGAAAACAATGCAACAAATTGCACTTTCGGCTCAGTTCTTTCTTTTCCTGTTGTTGTTGGTGGTGGTTTTACTTGTTGAAATTGTTGACATTTTATGCTGGTGGTTTTGGATGCAGATTTGTTGATTTTCATCTGTTGTGTGTCAAAAAAATGGCTTCGATCCATGTACACTTCAAATAATTAAAAAAAACAAAAAAAAAAACAATTGTATCCAGTGATTTGCTTTTCTTTTTTTCGCCCGTAGTGAAGAATCAAAAAAGTACAAAACAAAAATAAATGAATAAACATCATTAAAAATACAATACCGTAGATAGATGTCATAATATGCAATGCAGGTTTGCCCCAAAACATGAAAGGCAATTCCCCCAAGTAATAAAAACCTCAACAGGCAGCTGTTTAGCACCCTTGTCAGTTAATGTTTACTGTCAAACCTAACAAAAGAAAATACACACGTTTTCTTATGTATCTATTTCATGAATGGATTTTTTTTTTTTTTTTTAAATCAGTGGCCCGGTGGTCCAATGGTTAGCGTGTTGGTTGTTCGTCTCTGTGTGCCCTGCGATTGGCTGGCAAACGGTTCAGGGTGTCCCCCTGCCTACTGCCCCAAGATGGCTGGGATAGACTCCAGCACCCCCCACCCCACCCCCCGCGACCCTTGTGAGGATAAGGCGGATCGGAAAATGGATGGATGGATTTTTTTTTTTTTATCATGACAAAAAAAATATATCGTCGGTTTGAAAATCGATGAATTGCAAATAGGAAAACGGAAGAGCGGCCAGAACATTCCTCCCATTGGACCAATCAGATGGTTTGCTCCACCCACATGCCAATTAATTCAAGTGTCGACAGGTGTTGGCTCATCCCACGCCAGACTTGTGACACCACTGGTGTCACACCAGTCAAGTTAAGAGTTTTGAACAAGAAGGCTGACTTCTCTGTGGGGCGCCAACAGCAAATATGTTTGCTTGAGCTGTTCTAGTTCCGTTTATCTTCTTTACATTTTTTTTTTTTTTTTTTTTACTTGTTGTAGGAGCAACCTACGTGTTGTTTTTGGTTTTGTTTTTTTAAATATCCCATCTCTATGTTGTAGCAGAGAAGCAGTCTTGTCCTTTCAGGTGCTCCATTTGAAACGACGCTATGAAGGAGGAAATTGCCGCCGCCGTCTTTTTCGTGGGCCGCGTGGTCAAGCGCTACGGTTGTCTGGACAATGACGGCCGTGAGCGCTTCGCCGCCGCGCTCACGTCCGCCTTGTTTGAGAGCTACAAGAACCATTGGCACCCCAACGTGCCCACCAAGGGGCAGGCCTACAGGTATGCTTCAGTGCCACTCTTTGGGTGGCGTTTTCAAAGCTGCCATCTTTGCGGAGTGTCTCATGGGACTTCTACATAATGGCCAACAACTCTAGATTTGTTTTTCTTCTCCCGCTTTAGATGTCTGCGAATGAACCGGGTACAACAACAGGATCCAGTGCTTCGGAAGGCGTGCGATAGAAGCAGCGTGCGCTACGAGGACCTGGGCCTGCCTCAGGAGTTCACCGTGTGGGTCGACCCTGGAGAAGTGTCATGCAGGTTGGCGGACATTCTGTATCCAACAAGCCAGAGGCTTGTTTGTTTGAATATCTAAATGACAAATGGCCTAATTAATGACTGACCGTCCTCTGCTTGAAATTTAATAGCTGGGTCTTTGTCGTTATTTTTTTAAATCTAAGTTTCTTGAAGATTGAACCTTGAGACATGTGTGGCAGGTACGGTGAACACAGCGCCCCCTTCTCCATCTCAATGGTGGACGGCAGCCGGCGCGCCGACGCCCAATTCTCCCGGCGAGTCCACGACGCCGTGGAACGCGCCAGCCTGGACGTACCCTCGGAGAGTTCTTCGGATGAGGATGATGACGGGGTGGATGAGAAAGAGGGCGGTGGCAGCAGCGGGCCATCTGCTGCTCTCAGTGCCGAACCCAAAACCATCCCGACTGTTAGCAATCCCAAAAGCGTCTACCGGGTAAGTCGGCACAGGGAAAGACTGGTAGTACTTTATCCACCCTATTGCTTGAAAGTATAGACTGGGGCTATTTTATCCTTCTCCTTCCCACATACTTTAAACCCTTGAACATAAATTTCCTCCTTTTTCAGTTAACTGCCAATCTACTTGAGTCAAATTAGTACTTTGTTTATGTACTACGTTCCATCATTGGATGTTTGAAAGGAGTCCTGGAATATGAATTGTCTACATATGTACTTTACAAACCCCCTTTAGTTCAGCGAGTTTGCTCCCGGCGCACCCCAGACGTGGCTCACCCACCCCAAAAGGAAGCCATTCGGCGGGGACGCCTTCCTGCCTCTCGTCCCTCTTCCTCATCTCTCACCACAGCACCTGGCGGGCTCCAAAGGTTTCCATTCCTACCGGGCTATGTTTACCTTCACTGGGCCTCGTGTGGATAAGTACCACTGGGTCAGCAAGTCCCGCTCCTAGAACTTTCTGGATCATCGGTGAAGGGAAAAAAAAAAACAAGTCTCGGGGCTGTTTGTGTCTTTAAAGGAAATGGTTTTGAATATTTTGTGCATGATTTAACTTTTTTCTCCCCTTTTTTTAACGTCTTGACACAAGTGCTTTTAAGTAATTCTAACTGTAAATGTGTTTTTAATCACCGGTACCTGTGAATAAAGTAACTAAATTGTGAACTGTAGCTCAAAAGAAATAAACAGATCCGTTTCAGATGGTTTGTGTTAATCCCTCTGTTTTTAACTTGATTAATGTGTAGCCACTGTGCTCAATATAATGTCTGCAACATAGATAACTAAGGGACTCATCCTAGAACAATGTTACCCAGGGGGAATAAAAACCTTAATCAAGATCAAGCTGCATGTAATTGGCTTTTTTTTTTTTTTTTTTTTACACTGGGCATTAAGTGGTAGTTTACTGCTTGTGTTTGAGAGGAGTCTCTTCACATCTGGATTTAAACTCTTATGATTAGGAACTTTCCACCTTAGCAATGATTAGCGCCCTATCTCCCCCCCCCCCCACCAAAATGAAAGTGTTTAGTCTAATGTATTGTTTTTGTGCAATTGTTTTCACTCCAAGGACTCATGTAATTTTATCCAAGCTGTTGTATGCCTTGGAAATTCAAAGTTGACTTCCAACACCGAAACGTTCCTTTAATACTGTTGTATTGGGGCAGCCATGTCATTTGCATGCCCTGGTAGGATTTTTGGAAATGCTATTGTGTTGCACTCGTGCCAAGTAGCAAATTTGTGTATTTGTAGTCCATTTGGTATAGACATCCAGCTAAAGGTCCATGTTTTACTACGCTCTTTATTCTCACTAGTACAAGTACTACCTAGCACTAGCTTAAAACGGCCTTCCGGCAGGACGAGGCGAGTGTACAGGAAGGACACTCGGTCACTCTGGGACGTCACAGCTCCACGGCCATCGTCGGGCCAATGGAGCGGCGGCATTATTCACGCGCGTAACTTCTCCGCCCAATCGGGAAGCTTGTTGTTAGAACGTGGATCGGCCCTAGGTCACATCCGGTCGTATATAAACCGCCACGAGTTAGCGGTGAATTTGGAGTGTCCATTTTGAGCTGAGATCCGGCGGCTCCCTCTCTTTTTTTCCCCCCTCCCCTTGTTAAAGTAAGACAGCTTTGCTCTTTTTCGACCGCTGAAGCGCTTATTTGTAACTCTAGGAGCGATAATGTTCCCGTGCGCGGCTATTGACGTGTTGGACTACCTTCCGATTTGAGCGTAATTGTAACATTTCCCGGATCGGTAAGACGATGCTGTTGGCGAGCTAGCTGGCTAACAGTAGCGCCTTATGTCCAGGCTGGTATTACGTATGGCTAATGAATGGTTAACACGCATTCTAGTCATAATTTCCACCTGAATGTACAGTTTTTTTTACCGCATTCGTTACCATGAACTCCATTTCCTCGCGCGGTGTGTAATGTTTCGCTTTGTTTCGTTTGCAAGTCTCGGAATGCCAACCGGGGCCTTGCTCGTTCCCCACGAGCGCGGTTCGTTAGCATCCGGCTAGCCATCTTATTGTTACCAAACATTTGCCGAGGTCGCCAAAGTGGAAAACGCGGCCGTCCAAGTATCTATTTAAAAACACCTACTGTCATATAACTCAGCCAATCGGCTGTGATTTTAAGTACAACTGCTGAAAGTGGGCTATTGCGCATGTTTTGGTCTGTGCGACAAGCGTGCATTTGTTTGAATGGGAATATCTCCCCCCAATGTTCAGGTCAGTCAGTTAGGCTCGAGCAACTTTGAAGTCGCTCTTTAATTCCTGTGAAGTGCTAAAAACGCCAGAAAAAGCCACGTTAAGTATTTTGGATAATCACAATTTTTTTCATTGTGATTAAGACAGAGTGAGTAATGAAAAACATGAACCACGATCTCAAAACCAGAGCCCAACTGATTTGGATGTTTTTGTTGTTGTTGTTTTAATGCCGATTCTGATATTTGGCAGAAACAATTTCAGACAACTAATTAACTCTTTATTCATTGAGAACATCTAAAATTACAATACTTTTATTTTGATGCTTAATGTAAAGAACAAACGTATGAATCACAGGCAGATTGTTTTCACAATGCAGTAGTGGTGTAACTTGGCAGCAGAGACATTTTCAAATACAAAAACGTGCCAAAAAAACTCCTTATAATTTGCAGAAAGACTGAAAAAACATCCTGTCCTCCAGCTCCATCTCAGCAAATCTCCGTCCGATTTATGATTATTCTGAGCTGGGCTGCAATCAAATGGGTTTCCAATGTATCCTATGCTACACTGAAGAATACATGATTTGAACTGTCGGAAGCTTCCGCACTGATGAAACGTACTGTCCACCTCCCATCTCATTTCAGGCTACGTTAACAATCCACCCTCACGATGGCTGACGCTGACATTCTGCTCATGGAGACTTCGGAGCAAAACGGTAACGAGGGCGACGAGGACCAGAATGACGACGCCGCCGCCGAAGCCGAGCTGATGGCCGACGACGATGCAGACGGCGGCAAGATTGACGCCAGCAAAAGTGAAGAGGATGCAGGGTGGGTGCCTTTTTTTATTTTTATTTTGAAGAATTGTCTATTTGTCAACCGCGGTTTCTTGCCCCAAGACAAAAAAATGAGCCTTGTCATTTTCTTAATTCCTCGCATACTTTTAAACAGTTTACTAGACTTGACTCGTTGCGCCAGACTCATCACTCATGTAAGAGCAAATACCTGACCCGTTTATGGTCTTCACTGTGAAGCGATGTTATTTATTGAACACTTCCGGGCATTTTCTTGCAATGCGGTTGAATTTGTGTGCACGTCACCAGTAAGAGTAACAAGCGTCCGCCCCTGCTCCCCCTTTTCTCTTCTCCAGCAAAATGTTTGTTGGCGGCCTGAGCTGGGAGACCAACAAGAAGGACCTCAAGGACTACTTCAGCAAGTTCGGCGAGGTGTCGGACTGCACCATCAAAATTGACACGGCCAGCGGGCGCTCCCGCGGCTTCGGCTTCGTGCTCTTCAAAGACTCCGCCAGTGTGGACAAGGCGGGTGCTCGTCGAAATGAAACTCCGTGCGGTGCCCTCGTCCGCCTGCCATTTTGGCTGACTTACTGGCTGTGTGTGCGCGCGCTTTGCAGGTGCTGCAGCAGAGCCAGCACAAACTGGACGGCCGCCAGATCGACCCCAAGCGGGCCCTGGCCATGAAGAAGGAACCCGTCAAGAAGATATTTGTAGGCGGTTTGAACCCGGAAGCCACTGAGGAAAGCATCAGGGAACACTTCGGAGCCTTTGGAGAGGTGAGGAGACCCCCAGGCTACAAAGCAGTCTGTTGATGGAACGCAATGAGGTCGGGAGGGGGGGGGGGGGCTTGCAGACAGCTGTTTTTCTCAATTTTTATTGAAATTGATTTGTACGTCATCCATCCATTGCTCTTTTGTCAAGTTGTGTCAAAGAAAGACTAACATTTCGTCTTGGTATAGATGAACGTAGTTTGAATTATGTTGAATACAACAAAGCGTGCAAGATTTAACATAGCTTTACATAATTTATTGTTGCTGGGGGAAAACCAGGTGATTGTACCACCCCGGTGTTTTTACATTAGGCATTTTCAAATCTGCAAATGTCTCTCTTGTTCAAGTCAGAACCATGACGTTTCAAGTTGCTGACACGTGTCGTCGTCTTTCAGATCGAAACCATCGAGCTTCCCCTGGACCCCAAGTCGAAGAAGAGGAGGGGCTTCATCTTCATCACGTACAAAGAGGAAGCCAGTGTCAAGAAGTGCTTGGAGAAGAAGTTCCACAACATTGAGGGCGGAAGGGTCAGTGGTCTTGTCGAGATGGGCGGCGAGAACGTCGTGCGGGTGTTTGAAGGTGGCCGTTGTGTTTCTGGGTGCCGTGTGGCAGTGCGAGCTGAAGATCGCCCAGCCCAAGGAGGTGTACCAGCAGCAACAACAACAACAACAGCAGCAGCAGCAGTACGTAGGAGGACGCGGCGGAGGCTACGGCAGCCGAGGAGGTCGCGGCCGCAGCGGGGGTCGGGCGTCGTACTTGTTAAGAAGTTGATCCTGGAAAAGAGTCGGATTGAAGGGCTTAATGGGTGCCTTGCCTTGGCTTGGCTTGGCTTTGCGTCGACAGGCCAGAGCCAGGGCTGGAACCAGGGCGGCTACGGAAGCTACTACCAGGGATACGGCGGCCAAGGCTACGGCGGCTACAGCAGCTATAGCGGCTACGGCGGCTACGACTACCCCTCCGGTGGCTACTATGGATACCCTGGATATGACTACAGTACGTATGACGCCGCACGTGTTGCGTGTCATTGCGCCAAGTGACTCAAATGCATGTTAAAAGGAGCAGGGTCTCCTGGAGAGAGTTCTTGTGAACACGCCTTTCAAAACAAATGTTGACGATGCAAAGATTGCGCCCGTGAAGCTGCGATTGAGACTCTTGTCGCGCTCCGCCACCATGTGGAAATGTGTTTTGTTTGTCTCGACTTGCGATGTGTGCAGTTGACGATGATGCTGTGTTGCCAGGCCAGGGCAGCGCCAGTTACGGCAAGGCTCCCAGACGGGGCCACCAGAGCACCTACAAGCCATACTGATGCGCGCACCTCGGGAGGTACGTCATCCGCCGTCGGCTCCGCTTCCGTTGGAAGGCGACAGGCACACTTACGGGGTTCTTGTCTCTCCTCCCCTTTAAGGATCCAGCCAAAAAAAACGGCCGACTGGACAAAAGCGACTCCTTTTATGACAGAAGACCATTTGTACAGAAAACATCAGAAATGTAACTTTTTTTTCCCTTTTTTTTTTTTTTTTTAATTGTATGCTTTCATTTTTTAGGTTTTATTTTCCTTCTGTTTTGTTTTCCCTCCCCAACATTTCCATTGAAAGGAAGTGTGATTTTACTGTACTTTTTGGTACCTGTTTTGATTCTAATGTATTGTAAGGGTATTTTACATGTCAGCTGGCTTTACAGGTTTGGATGACTTACTTGGTGCTGTAAAGGAGCTTTTTTTTGACAAATAAAGAGAAAGATTCACAGACGTGGTGTACTTTTTTTTTGTCTGTTTGTTTGAGAATTGAAAGTTTGAAACCCTAACGTGAGTTTTAAGGTCTACTTTGAAACCATTATTCCTCGTGCCAAATCGTAATTCAAACCATTCATTCACCCTTGTTTCAAGGCCGAATTGGGAATCCAAACAGAGCTTGAAATCCTTCACTATCGTTTGAAACCCTGACCTGTAACCCTTAATATAAATCCTCAAACTGTAGTTTCGAAACCTCACTTTAAACTACCGTATTTTCACTACTATAAGGCGCCATTAAAAGTCTCCAAAATGGACAGGACGCCTTATAATGCGGAGCGTCTAGTGCACAGGTGTCGAAGTCCGGTCCTGGAGGGCCGGTGTCCTGCATGTTTTCCATCCCTCCCTGCTGCAACACACCTGATCCAAATGAACAGCTCATCAGCAAGCTCTATCAGAGCCTGATAGTGATCCTGATCATTTGAATCAGGTGTGTTGCAGCAGGGAGGGATGGAAAACATGCAGGACACCGGCCCTCGAGGACCGGACTTCGACACCTGTGGAATACAATGAAATTTCTTCACCCCAAGAGGTCTGACATTGAATGATAAATGTTTGGTAGATCGACAAAAAGAAAATAAGTTTTACATCTGATACAGTACATCTTCCAAGCAGAAAATACTTTGACACATCCAATATGGCAGTGCCGTTGACATAAAGTTCAGTGCCCAAGACGGAGTTCATGAATGTCTATGGTTTTGAGGCATTGTTATATTGCATTTACAATGTTTGACCAGTGGGTGGCAATGTAAGGAATGTTTCCTCTTAGCCAACTGACGCACGATTTTGTCACTCATCAGGCATTCCACTACAGGGACCACCTTAATTAAATGAAAGTACTTGTTTAGGTTAGATGTATACAATGTTGAACCAATTTTACTATACAGTACAGGAGGGATGTGATCCTCTCATCGAGTGGTATACCGTGGGAGTTTTTTTTATTTTTACTAATTATTATTTCCCCCAATAATTAGCAACAATGGTTTAGCAATGTAGGGAAAAGAATAATAAGTAATATGCAGGAGAAGATACAAATCAAAAGGCAAAACTTTATTTCTATGAGTCCCTGTAAAATTTTTCACATTTTCAAATTTTACCCTCTACAATATTCTGGGGAAATTACAATAACCTTGTTCCTGTGGGCTATTTTTAAAACAGGCTTCTTACCCTTGGATGCCGACTGATGTCCGTGGGCACTATGTTGGTGATTTCCAGTGTTTCAACTGAAAGCATTTCATTTGATAAGCACGGTTGTCACATTTCCAAACAATATTTTTGGATGGGTATTTTTATGTTTGCCCTTGCTGTCAACTCATATCTTTGACCTATAAGAAGTTACAATGCCAAAGGATTTGTGAATCTGAAAAACAATCACTGTAGAAAACCAATACCACAAAGAGACAGTCAACGATGACATGAAAGGGATGCATAAAAAAAAAATTCTTTATGTAGGCTATTGGGCGAATATTAATTCATAAGGTGGTGATTGGGGGAAGCCCGGTCATCGAGTGGTTAGCACGTCGACTTCACAGTGCAGAGGTACCGGGTTCAATTTCAGCTCTGGCCTTCCTGTGTGGAGTTTACATGTTCTCCCTGTGCTTGCGTGGGTTTTCTCCCGGTCCTCCGGTTTCCTCCCACATTCCAAAAACATGCATGGCAGGCTGATTGAACACTCTAAATTGTTCCGAGGTGTGAGTGTGAGCGCGAATGGTTGTTTGTTTCTGTGTGCCCTGCGATGGGCTGACAACGGGTTCAGGGTGTCCCCCGCCTACTGCCTGAAGACAGCTGGGATAGGCTCCAGCACCCCCCGCAACCCTCGTGAGGATAAAGCAGTTCGGAAAATGAATGAATGAATTAATGAATGAATGAAAGGTGGTGATTATGAGGTAACTATATCAACCAAAGGTACCATTTGTTTTTTCTATTGTATGCCAACATAAACACACATCCGTACACTGCTTCACACTGGCACATCAGATATGTAATATCACGAAAAACAAATATGACTAAAGGGAGCTGTGATGATGAATTTCCTCTTTGTGGTGACATCACTGCCCCAAAAAAATGACCATGTATAGGAAGGTGTTTTTTTGACAAAAAAAAAAAAACGACCATGTATAGTCAGGCGTTTTTAGCTGACAAAAATGACCATGTATAGCAAGGCGTTTTTTGCCCAAAAAAAAAAAAAACGACCATGTATGATAAAGGCATTTTTGGACGAAAAAAACAACCATGGATAGTAAGGCGTTTTTATCCCCTTAAAAAACGACCATGTATATATATATATAGGCGTTTTTAGCTGAAAAAAATGACCATGTATAGTAAGGCTTTTTTGGCCGAAAAAAACGACCATGTACAGTAAGCCGTTTTTGGCCGAAAAAACGACCAGATATAGCAAGGCGTTTTGAGCCGAAAAAAACGACCATGTATAGTAAGGCGTTTTTTAGCCGAAAAAAGACCATGTATAGGAAGGCGTTTTTAGCCCCAAAAAACGACCATGTACAGTAAGGCGTTTTTAGCCGAAAAAAGACCATGTATAGGAACGCGTTTTTAGCCCCAAAAAACTACCATGTGTAGCAAGGCGTTTTTAGCCGAAAAAAAACGACTATGTATAGTAAGGCGTGTTTTGTTGGTAAAAAAAGCCTGACTATACATGGTCATTTTTTTTTGCTAAAAATGTCTGACTATACATTGTCGTTTTTTTCGGCTAAAAACGCCTTACTATACGATGTCGTTTTTTTCGTGCCAAAAACGCCTTACTATACTATGTCGTTTTTTTCGGCTAAAAACGCCTTACTATACGATGTCGTTTTTTTCGTGCCAAAAACGCCTTACTATACTATGTCGTTTTTTTCGGCTAAAAACGCCTTACTATACGATGTCGTTTTTTTCGTGCCAAAAACACCTTACGATACAATGTAGTTTTTTTCGGCTAAAAACGCCTAACTATACTATGTCGTTTTTTTCGGCAAAAAAAAGGCTTACTAAACTGTGTCGTTTTTTTTCGGCTAAAAACGCCTTAC